CTTCGTGTGTCAGGTCTCCCGGATCAGGCCTCCTCCCCATGTGCTGGACTGGAACTCCCAGAATCCTCCAGGCATCGTATCTAGGAGATTCTGTGATTTGCAGTCCAGCTCCTCGGGAGGAGAGCTGGGTTAGCGTGCATGTCTGGAACCCATGCACCAGCCTCACCCCCGCCCAGATCCTCAGCCTCTTTCCCTCCTCCCTCCCCCTATACCCCCAGGGACCTGGATGATGACTGGGAACGGGGTGATGCACAACGGAACGACCATCCTGGACGAATACGGCCACAACCTGGACCGTCTGAAGGCAAGTCTGAGACCTTCTTGGCCACTCTGGGCAGCGATGGGCAAACCACCGTGTGGCTGGAGGAGGGAGGGGAGGCGAAGGTCCACCAGCTCAAACGTGGTCCCCCCGCATGGACGGAGCTGTGTTTGAGGAAGGCGGCGAGGAGGTGGTGGGAGAAGGCGGTGGGCAGCCAGAGGTGAAGAGCCGTGCAGGTCATTTTGAAGAGAATGGGCATCGGAGCAGAGCAGAGCAAGCCCAGGCCTGGGCGGGCCACCTTTCAGGCCACCCAGAGGCTCAGAGGATGGGGGAACAGAGACTCGTCTAGACAGTATCTTCCAGCATCCCTTAGGCAGCATGGCTGGTAGCGTTCAAAAAAGGTCACCGGTCCAAGCTTGGAGGGAAAGGGGCTTTGTGCCCCCTTCTCGCGCTACGCCGAGGTTTTGGAGGGCCCTTCTGGAAGCCGAGCCAGGTCCACCGTTCACTCCTCCACTTTTGATTTCTCATTTCTCCTTTCCCTGCTCTTTCAGGCGGGCGACACGGTGGGCGTGGTGCGCAAGGAGGACGGGACGTTGCACTTCTTTGTGAACGGGGTGGCTCAGGGCCCAGCCGCCTGGAACGTCCCGCCCAACGTCTATGCCGTCGTGGATCTGTACGGGCAGGCGGCCCAAGCCACCATCATGGACGACACAGGTCAGTGGGTGACGGGGAGGCAGAGGGATACATTTCACTGGGCCATGGCACGGGGCAGAGGGTGCAGGAAGTAGATGAGGGGTTTGGTTCTCTTGCCGGTGGAATTCCACTTCTTCTAGAATTCAGGGGTTGAAGAACACAAGAGGCTGTTTTTAGGCTAGGCCAGGCACAAAGAAAAAAAATATTCATTCATTCATTCATTCATTCATTCATACGACAGAATCCTAGAATAATGAAGTTGGAAGGGGCCTATAAGGCCGTGAAGTCTAACCCCCTGCTCCAGATCAAAGGAGAATCATAGAATAATTGAGTTACTATTTACTTAAAGAAGGTTTACCCCACCTTTCTCTTTAAACAGAACCTATTAAAAGACAATATTTAAAAGTTAAAAATAGTAAGTATACAAACACTGAGCAGGATCAAGCAAATACCACACTATTAAAAAAGTAAACAAAAGCAACAGCAAATACATATAATGCTGTTCTGTACATTCATACATATACTCATTTGTTTGTTTATGTGCCATGAATTTCCTTCCAACCTAGGGCAACCCTGGTAGGGTTTTCAAACAACATGAGATGTTCAAGGATTGGTTTATTATCAGCCCCCTTCACATGGACAAACAAAAATTTGAACCCGGGTCTCCTGAATCCCCCAGTCCCTCACGTTATCCACTATGCGTACTATACTGGCTGCCAGTATGCATAGACAGTTGTTTTTATATTCACATTATTTTTCTTTGCATTCAGATCTTGGAACACGATGTATTTTTGTGGTTTGCTTTTAGCATAAAAAAGGTTGCAAACCTGACGATTCATCTAGGTAATTTTGCTAATGGTTCCTGTGTCCGTAGCTGAAGATTTTGTCTGCTCCTTCAATACGTCGCTCTGAATGGGCATAGCCTGTTTGTTGCCATCGTACAAACCTATACTTGTGTGGAGCGAAATCACTGTGCTATATGACAAGTCTTCCGTAACAGCGAGTGCCTAGAAATAGTGCTGTTTCTGGGCGATGTTTCTATGGTGCTCGTTATGGTTCAGTCATTGTTATGATTCCAAGATGCCCCTCTTCTTGCACACAGAGCGCTTAGCAAAGAACATGAGGCCAAGTCCCTCCCTTGTACATCGCCACCTTTCCTTCCCACCCGAGGGTCTTGCAAAAAGCGTCAATTCAAGCATCTGGGGGGGGGGGCCAGGTATGTCCTTGGGGGACTTATCCCACCTTTCCTCTTCCGCAGACCCCCTTCCACTTCCTGACGACCTCTCGGGAGGAAACAACCAGCTGTCTCCCAGCAGTCCTTCCTCCATTGCCTCCGGGAGCGACTTGCGTTTCCACCACCTTCACGGCAACAACGCCGTCATTACCAACGGCGGGCGCACAGCGCTGCGGCAGAACTGCCGGAGCGAGTTCAACGATGCCATCGTTATCTCAAACCGGTCAGTGAACCTCGGGGAGGGTGGGGACACCAGACAGCGCATGCACGTCGTAGGGATTGCAGTCAGATGTTGTCAAGTTCTCTCCTGGAATCCTAGAACTTGAGGCCACCGAAGAATCGTGGAGTGGGAAGGGGGCCCTCTAAGGCCATCAAACCCAACCCCACAGCTCAAGGCAGGAACTGGAATCAAAGCAGATCGGACAGACGGCTGGCTAAATTTCTCTTGAATGCCTCCAACATTGGTGTGCTTGTCACCTCCTGAGGTCATGGGTTCCCTTGTCGTACCGAGGAGACTTTTTTTTCCTGACAGTCAGCCAAGATCTGGCTTCCTGTTGCTTGAGCCTATGA